TGTGGAAACTATTAAAAGAGGCAGTTCCCCTTGAAAAGCTCTGAGATGAAGAAAAGGGATACCAGCATCCAAAGAGCAGAGAGGTGGCACAGGCTCGTCGTCCCCTGCCAGCCTGCCTCAGGCTTCCAAAGCCTTGTGTCCTTTAGGTGGGTGGGTGGCGGGAAGCATCAGAACCCCCCCACCCCTTCCGGTCTCTCAACTGCTACTCCGACCAATGGCTTCAGCTTCGTCATCCGGTTGTTAGAGATGTCTATTCCCTGCCGGGCAGTGGGGGCGCACACCTTTAATCCCAGCACTTGGTACACAGAAGCAGGCAGATCTCTTGAGTTCGAGGCCAGCCTGGCCTACAGGGCGAGTTCTAGGACAGCCAGGGCCACACAGAGAAACTTTATCTCTTAAACAAAAGCAAAAAACAAACCAAAAAAGAAAAACAGAAAGGAAGGGAGGGAGGGAAGGAAGAAAGGACGAAGGGAGAGAGAGAGATGCTCATTCCCAGGCTGGCTTCAGTTCTGATCTGAAAGCTGGCCCAAGGCCAGCTCCCAGGAGTCCGGTGTCCCTCGCATACCCAAAACCCTCTTTTGCCTCTGGAGCCTCCTGACTCCTGTCTCCTGCTCCTTCTCCTTTCCCTCCTTTTTTTTTTTTTTTAATGATTTTTATTTTTTTAAAGTCAGGGTCTTGCCATGCAGCCACAGACTCATGGTGATTCTCCTGCTTCATCCTCTTAAGTACTAGGGTAGCGGATGTATAGATGTATGCCACCACACCCAGCCTTGTCTTTCAGGGGGGGTTTGTTGTTGTGTTTGTTTGTTTGTTTGTCTTTCTTAATAAACATCTTTTTAGCAAGCTGATCTCCATCCTTTGCCGGTGTCTTCCAGGAAATAGTTGGGCTGAGAGAAATCCAGGAGGGCCCAGGGGGTGAGAGCTCTTTGTTGTGTAGGTGGTTGCATGGGCTGAAGGGGATGAGCGCGTGGCCACCGTGTGACACTCTGATACGTGTCTACGTCACTCAGCAATGTCACTTTGCTGTCTTTCCTGAGGAGACCTTACACACTGTGGTTACTCCCCTGTGGTAGATGAGGGGAGACATCACTTGGGAGCATGCAGGCCCGTACTCCCATAGCCAAGAGAGATTGACCCCGTACTTCTCTCCTCGAACAGGACAGATACTGATGAAATTTGTTTCTAAAGATAGCCCCAGAGGTAATCCAGCTGCTAAAGAGCCCCTTTGTTCCCTTGGAAGCAATGTGTGCAAAAACCACAGCAGCCCCAGGAAAGGCTATCTATGTCATCCAAGAACATGTATGTACTGAACGCTTGAATGCCATTGCCCTTGAGCGCCTGAGTGCGGCCCAGCAGCTTCCTGCCTCAGTTCTGAGGTCTGAGAGGCAAGCACTCCACCTGACTGTTTCCCCAGGCATTTCTCATGACCAAGGGGCAGGGGCAGCGAGGATGCCCACCCCCCACCCCCCAGACGCTAGACCTCTTAGCACTTCTCAAGCTGTGGGTCAGATACCCTGCATGCCACAATTCATAACAATAGGAAAATCACAGTTATGAAGTAACAAGGAAATAATTTTATGGTTGGGGGTCACCATAACGTGAGGAACTGCACTAAGGAGTTGCAGCATTGGGAGGGTTGAGAACCAATGTCTCTCCTGCTCAAAATCCACTCTCAAATTCTTTATTAATCAACAGGCCATTGTGCTTTGTCCTCTGCATACGCCAACACACACACACACACACACACACACACACACACACACACACACACACAGAGTCATCTAGTCACAAGAGGATGGAGATGACCTGGGCCAGTGTGTCCCAAATAGCTCTGGGTCCCAGGGCATTGCCCTTTCATGTCCTGCTAATATTAGTGCTATTATAGGCTGGAGCTGGGAGCGGAGGTAGGCTGTGGCGTTGCCCTGGAAGGAAGGCACATGCTACCCCCACACGTCATTTCCCTCTCCATGACATAGAGCTGCTCTCGCCATCTAATGTATCCCGAAGTCTCTGCTGCAGGCTGGATCCGAGGAGCAGGCCATCGGCCATGGATGAACTCATGGTATCTCCACGGGCTGCCTCTTTCCTGCCCCCCACAGACCTGACAAGGTTTGCTGCCGTTGTTAGGGCAGCCCCAGATGACACAGCCATTCCACAATTGAAAGGTCTTTGGCATTATGTCGTCTTTTTCTTTTTCTTCTTTTGGGTGTCTCATTCGGTAGTCTAACCTGTCCTCAAACTCACAGTGATCCCCCTGACTCAGCTTCCCAAATGCTAGGAATTACAGATGGGATCCACCATGCTTGACAGCGTGGTTTATAGTTTTGGACGACATTGGGGGCAAAACTGGAGCAGACTTTTTAATTTGTGGATTCATGGCCCACCGCTAGCATCAGTCAGTCTATGTGAGGCCCCTTCCTGCTCAGTCTTTCCCCGGTTCCTATTTCCCTGCCTGTGGACAGCATTCCAATGGTCTGAGATATCTCTTTGTACATGTATGTCCCTTAAAATGTATAGAGTTGTTTTTGGGCGTACTTTTTTTTGTTTGTTTATTTGGTTTTTTTTGGGGGGGGGAAGGGTTTCGAGACAGGGTTTCTCTGTATTGCTTTGGAGCCTGCCCTGGAACTCGCTCTGTAGACCAGGCTGGCCTCGAACTCACATAGATCCGCCTGCCTCTGCCTCCCGAATGCCGGGATCAAAGGCGTGCACCAGCGATGCCCGGCGCAAGGCGCACATCTTTTAACTCCTGTAAAAGCGATGCAACTATTAGCCTCTTCCACCGATCATGATGCTTCTGCAGCCCTGGTATCACCAGTACGGTTGTGTGTGCATCTAGAGTGTTTCTGATGAAGGGTGGCATTCTCAGTCACCTAGCTGGTGTGTTTTAGCTAGCCGTTGTCGGGTGCTTCCCAGGTGACTTCCAACTCCCTGTCACAACAGGTGGCATGCCGGGGAAGTCGTTGTGCTTTCCTCTTCAGGTCCTGGGTGAGAACTTCCTTATGTGGTCCACCCAGCCTTAGTTTGCTGGGTCCTGGATGCCCTTTGTGCCTGCTGTAACTTGGGAATACCTGGTGGCTTTGGGGAGGGGGGTGGAGTATGGGTCTCTGAGGTCACACTTTCTCCAGGAGACTACCCTCATGCTGACACTGTATCTCAGGTGGGCCTCGAACGCCTCCTCCTCCCCACAAACCCTGCTGAGTGCTGGGGTGGGATTAGAGGCATGAACTACCACACCAAACCAGGAAGCAGTATCCTCCTTCAGGAAGGACTGGCCCGCTATGCCCCCATCTAGCAGCTGATTGAGCTCAGCGTCTGGCCACAGAATGCCAGCCTGTGGTCAATGCCCCTGCCCTCACTTGGCTTCCTGTCATGAGTGTACCTATTGGGAAATGATAAGGAGCTGTACCACTGCCACTTAAATGTTACCGTCACACGTTCTGCCCGTGACCTCCCCCCATGTGTGTCTAAAAGAGGGCATGCACCCTGGTCAGCCTGCCTGGGAGCTCAGGATAGTTCAGACACACAAGCCTGCTGTGGCAGGTTCCTTTTATGTTTGTGAGAGTCTCAATGTGCAGCTTTTGATGGCCAAGAACGTCTGTGTAGCCCCAACTGACCTCGAACTCTCCATCCTCCTGTCTCCGGTCCCCAAGAGCTAGAAGGAACTCTATGTCCAGGCTCTTGTCCCCTTTCTTCTTTTTCCAAAAAAAAAAAAAAAAAAAAAAAAAGAAACACCTTTTGAAATTACATTTACTTATTTGTATCGGGGATTGTGCATATGGAGGCATGTATGCGAGGCAGGTATGTGGGTGTCAGAGGACAACTTGTGGGGGTCCATTCTGTCTTCCCCCCATGTGTCCCCAGAGATCAGACTCAGGGTCATCTGTCTTGGCAGCAAGTGCCTATATCCTCTGAACTACCTCATTGGCCCTCTTTTGTTCTTGTTTAGATAGGGACTCGGGCCAGGCTGACTTCAAACTCAATATATAAGCTAGACTTGAACTCCTGAGCTCCTGCCTCTACCGAGTACTAGGATTGCAGGGGTTTGCCGCCGCTCTGGCTCTGGCTTACGGTGTGGTGGGACCCAGGCCCCCCAACATGCTAGGCAAGCATGCTACCCAGCTGAGCTACATACCCAGCCTACTTGACAGCTTTCTTGACAGGGAACCTCGCTGCGGGAGAAAAGCCTGCCTCTCTCTGATGTGTCCCTATTCTGACATGAGACCATCATGCTGATGACTGTTGGGGCCTGTTCACCGGCTGAACTTATCTCTCTTGTGTTGGAGAAAGTTGAGCACTTGTAGCCTTCAGACTTTCCTTCTTCCCCAGAGGTCCGTCTGCCCTTTATAGGGGAAAAAAATGAATCATAAACAGTCAGAACAGTTTACTCTTTTGTACCAGGGAAAGCTTCTGGGAGGCCTTAGCCCTAAGATCAAAATTTGGTGTCAGATAATAGCCATAGGTGGCCAGATTTTCCACCCACCAAAGGCTGAGTGTTTTTAAGGGGCCTTTTATCAGCCTGTCTTCCTGGTTTGTAAATGTCTGTGTTTAGGGAAGAGTATAGCACATAGGAGTAGATGGTGGGTGGACAAGCCATCCTTCTGCCCCCTTGGGTCTAGATTCATTTTCTGATTCTTCTCTCATCTGACAGGTAAAGCCAGACTAAAGCATCCTAGAATCAGTTATCGACTGGGAGTGGGGATGGGTCATTAGGGGTACTAGCCTTTTATATGCAAGTCTCTTAAGTTAATTTGTATTCTTTGCTTTGGAAGAAAGAGACTTAAAGATGGTGTTTCTGAGATAAACCCTCTACCTTACCAGTTGTCAGGCCCACCCAGGGCCTCCCGTGAGTCTGGCCACTCAGCTCAGGCCTCAACTATCAGTTCCGTTCAGACACCAACTGTCATTTAAACCCTTGTGCTGCAGAGTACCTTACAGATTCTGGATCCTCATGGCTGTTCTAATTGTTTCTTTTTGTCTTTTTTTTTGCACCTCTATTCCAGAGACCTAGCTGTCATCATCATCCAGGGAGCCCTCCTCTTTCTCCTGACGACGCTGCTCTACCATCGCAGTGGCTGGTTGTTGCTAAGGTTGCCTCCGTGGTAACATGCTTACCCTGTTTACACTTTTATATGGACAAGTAGTCTGAGATAGGAACCTATCTACTCTGGACAACTATTTCCATCACCACCCAGAGGACACCAATCAGCGTGACGCCAAGTCCATCTTCTACTAAGTTCCCCCAACCTCTTCCTCCTCTCACTAGTAGAGTTGATACAGAAGAAGGGATCTTGGCTTGGTGTTGCTACTCTGAAGCTGGTTGCACAAGATATTGTCAATTTATCCCCTATCTGGGCCCCCAGAGAAGAAAGAAGAGGGAAGAAAAGGGGAAGAGAAGGCAAGAGACACTAATCAGTTGGAGGGAAATTCTACATCTTCTGTGTTTGAGAGTCTGGTAACAGCAGGCAAAATGACGAACCCATCAGGACATAGCTTTCCAGGCAACTCGATAGCTGAGAACTATGAAGGGGAGTTTGGCTGCACATTAATGGACCTGAGAAAGCTCATGGAGCTTCGTTCGGCTGATGCAGTTGCCCAGATCAATGCCCACTATGGAGGTGTACAGGATATCTGCGCTAGACTGAAAACCTCCTCTGTAGAAGGTAAAGGCCATTTCAGGGGCTGGGGATTGAAGGACAGTGGCTAGGATTTTGAAACATCACTTCCCAGCTTCTAGGGAAGGTACCTTTCTGGAGACCCAACGGGTTGGTTTTCATCTTGTGGGAAGAGTACTGTCATCTAAAGCGCTGGAAGGAGGGAGGCTGTGAAGACAGCTGTTTCTTCCCCTGATGTGTCTGGGAGCTATGATTCTCTAAAGTGTTCTTTCCTCTTGTTCCCATAGCGGTCTGTACTTACCGGTGATTTAGATGCACTTATCAGTATATAATTAACGCCTTCCCCCATTCTGTCAGTCTTTGGTCACAAAAGAGCCTAAGATAGAATTCTTCCTCACACTGATCTTAAAGTTCAATGGCTGAGAAAGGGCTACAGGAAGTAGTATTCCAGCCATCTGAGTGCCCTATTATACACAGTTAGAAATGGGATGATGTGTCGTGTGTCTTTGGACCAATCTTGTAGGTGCTGACTTTTTTTGAACCCTGTCTTATAAACTTTTCCCACCACCACATAGGGACCAAACCCAGGGCTTTGCACAAGTCCCCTCACCACTAAGCTGTAGCCTGGGCCTTTTTTTTACTTTTGATTTAAGGCAGATGCTTACTACATTACCCAGGCTGGGCCTGAGTCCACTCCGTAGTGTAGGCATGCTTTCAGTTCATGATTCTTCTGCCTCAGTCTCCAAAGTAGATGGGATCACAAGCCTGAACTCATAAGCTTTGAGTTAAGATGTTTGCAATAATATTTACACCTATCCCACAGAGTTATTAAGATTAAGTAGTCCTGTGTATGTGTGTTTGTTTGTGCATGTGGAAATTGATAAATTAAACAGAGCTTGTGTGCCTGGAGATTTTGCTGGAATATGAGTGCCCCTAAGTTTCATAGAATCATAATCTCTAATGTGGCTAAGGTATGTGTGGTGTGACTGCAGCTACTGTCTGTCTCCCATGCTCCCTGTCACCTCAGAGGCTAAAGATGGAAGTGCTTGGTTGCCTTCAGGCAGCACCCCCTGAGCCTTCTAGCTTGTGTCTAACACTACCTTCTGAACACTGTCCACTTCCTGCCAGCTAAAGTTTTTTTTCTTCTTTTCATTTTCATTTATTTATTGAAACTAGGTCTTGATTTGGAGCCCAGGATGTTTTTGAACTGGTACCAGTTACCCTGCTTCAGCTGGCGTTTACAGGCAGGTACTGCCACACCCAACATCACCTCCTGATCTTTCTTTCTCTGACATAGTATCACTGTGTCGCCAAAGCTGACCTGGAACCTGGGATCCTCCTGCTTCAGCCTTTCTAAATGCCAGGCATGCACCACCAAGCCTGTCCCCTGAGCTTCTTTTTTTGGTGACTCCAATGATAGGACATACCTTGTGCTTTTATGAGACATTCAGGTTTTAATTACAGACACGCATCAGAACTGAAGCTGGATCTCTCTGTTTGCCTCTTACTGTTCAGGTCAGATGTTTCTTTCACACAGTGGGACTCAGGGATCCAAAGAGCTAGGAACCCGGGGGCTCCAGGGCAGGATCCAGGCTTTCCTCCCATTCCTCTAATCCTTTCATGGAGCTATGGCAACTTACCTTCCATAAAAATTACCCGAAGGCTACTCTCACATGCCCTCTTGGTCTCGTGTGGCTTGTCACTGGTGGGAGGCTCCTGCAGATTGATAATGAGAATAAAGATAAGAGAGTGAGTTCGAGTTCTTGTTAGAAACCAAGATTAAATAAGTTTGAGTAGATTTGCCTGAAGTTCTGGTTACTCGGGAGCTGAGAGGGTCTATCTCCTGAGCTTGGGTGTGTGAAGCTAGCTTGGCTCCTGGGATGGGGGCTTATGATGTTGATGGTGAGAGAAAAGGAGTGTGACCCTTTCCTTTTATTTTTTGCTTGGATTAACCACATGTTTAGTGTCAATACAACTTTTCAAATTATAGCTAATAAGGAGGTTTAAGGGAACTTCGGATTTTTGACACTAACATGACCAATCCTAGAGACAGACAGAACTTGTTATTATTATTATTATTACTTTCTATTGATCGAGTTTGTTGTTTGACTGGCACTTAATTGTAATATTCTCTATCTAAGCTAATGACCCGACTGAAGTCTTTGTGCCAGTAGAGCAGTTTCTATGTTCTGGCTCACAGCCTATTAATGTTCTGTTGCCTCTTGTACAGAAGGGCAGAGGACTTGAAGTTAGTCATGTATGTGCCTGAATGAATTTATGGGCATCATGTATGCCGGTGCCAGAACATGCTCAAAGTTAATGTCATGGATCCCCTGGAACTAGAGTGTCTTAGTTTGGGTTTCTATTGCTGTGAAGAGACACCATGACCACTATAACTCTTACAAAGGGAAGCATTTAATTGGGGCTGACATAGTTGCAGAGGCTTAGTTCATTATTGTCAAGGCAAGAAGCATGGTGGCCCCCAGGCAGACATGGTGCTGGAGAAGGAGCTGAGAGCTCTGCATCTTGATCTGCAGGCAGCCACAAAAGAGCTTGGGCTTAAGCATCTGAGACCTCAAAGCCCTCCCCCCCCACACAGTGACACACTTTCTCCAACAAAGCCACACCTACTTCAAAAAGGCCACACCTCCTAATAGTGCCACTCTCCATGGGCCAAGGCGGCAAACACATGAGTCTATAGGGCCCATTCCTATTCAACCACCACATGCCATTGTGTGGTACTGGGAACTGAAGGCAGATCCCCTCTGCAACAGCATTAAGTTCTTTTAGCTGCTGAGCCATCTTCCCAGCCTCTGGTTTTGCATTTTAATGTCTGATAAAATGTGGGATTGGGCCCAATGCACATGCTAATAGTGTTCCTGCAGTGTGTTAAAGTGTTGGAGTTGCAGCAGCTCCTCAGCCTAGGGCTTCTTTCAAATGGCTAAAGACAACTTCTGTTGAATTTGGAAGTAAATATGTTGGTTGGACTTATATCTCACGGTCCATCTCTAGCCTTCCCCATTGTCCCTCCCCTACAGGACTGGGTATGGCAGCACATCAATTAAGGTCCTCTGATATGCCTCCAACAGCATGTAACAACCAGTACCTACTCTGTAGATGGCCTCACACTGGTGGCCATGACAGCACGCACTGTCTCTCTTCCCCCGGAGCTCACAAGTTGACAGAAGTTGCACACAGAATGCTGTTTGAAGGGAGGACAGTGTTGAGGGGCATACAGCACAGGGACTAAGATGGAGGACTGACAGAGAAGGGGCTTGGGAGCTTGAGCTCACCCCTGCTCCTCCGTGTCATCGAAGGCTTGCCTGGATATACTCCATCATGGCCGGGCTGTGTCCTGATTGCTCTCTTTTCTAGGGAGTTGCTAGTTTATGATGCAAGTGTCTTTGCCTTCCCTATCTACTGAGTAGCTGTTGAGTTAGGAAGATGAAATTCTTTTGGGAAATGGCCAGAGGGAGAAGAATTCGTTCGAAGACAGACCAAACAAATTCTGATTTGGAGTTCACCAATTTCAAGATTTAGATTGACAGCTCTTGTCACCTTAAGATCTCTGGAGTTTTTATTGTGTTCTTGTCATCATGTACTTCCTGGACATGGCCATCTTCTCACTATCTAGAACATACTGGGATTGGGCTCTTCCTCCACAGGGCAGACTGAAAATCAATCAACAATCCCCCACTCTACCGGCACCCTCAGAAAGGTGCTGGGGATCAAACTGGAGGTTTTCCAATGCTAGACAAGTGCTGATCTCTAAGCAGGTGGATCTCTGTGAGTTTGAGGACAGCCCGGTCTACAGAGCCAGTGCCAGGACAGCCAGGGCTGTTACACAGAAAAACCCTGTCTTGAGAAACTGGAAAAAGAAAGGAAGGAAGAAAGAAAAGAAAGAAAGAAAGAGAAGGAAAAGAAGAAGGAAGGAAGGCTTTCTCCCTATTGTCCAATTCTCCAACTCCCCAACAGGTAGAGGCATAGAAGCATGACACCTCCCCCCCCCCACACACACACACACTTAGATACCACAGTTTTAGGGACTGTTAGGATTGGGGAAAGCGATAAGTTAGGTGAGTGGTATAGTGTGGCAGGAAGGCAGGGGCCTGGCTTTGTTGGCTTCCTTTCTTCTCTAATGTATAATCTGGAATATCAGTCTGGCAGAGCTCATGGATCACCGGGGCCTGGGCCCATAGCCTTCACCTCCCACCTCTCCCGGGACTGCCAGGTTCCTTCCTAGCAATTTATCTGGGCCCCGGCTGCAGACTAGCGATCTGTGGTCTACCAGGCCATCACACCTCGGGTAAATCTGCTAGTGCTCATTTAAGGTGTGAGCGTCACACTGAGTCTTGGAGGGAGGGAATGGGACACATGCACAGCCTGATTCAAACAGCTAGAAAGGGAGTAGCTCCCCTGGGCGAGGGCCAGGGTGAGCAGGGTGGGCCCGGCCAGTGGCTTCATTAGGGAAAGTCTTGATGCCTGCTGGAGGGGTGAGAAGGGCTGTAACCCCTAGAGGAGGAGACTGAGAGGATTGGAGGACACAGGAGAGTGAAGTGCTCTCCGGCCCCAACAGGGAAGGCTTCTGGCACCCTGGAATGTCCCTGCCTGGTTTAAGTTTCATGCTTAGGGCTGAACTAGGACAGGAGAGCTGTCCCCACCCAACCCCACACTCTGCCAACCCTTAGCCATCCAGCCTCTCCTCTCCCAGAGCTGAGCATCTGCATTTGCAAGCACCATGTACCAGGCAGGGCTGAGAGAGTACAGAGAGGTCTTCTGGACTGAAAGCACCCCTGCACTTCTCCTCTCCCCCAGGCTTGGCACCTCTGTGCTGGGAGACGCAGCAGCAACTCTTGTTCTTGAGTTTGGTTTGCCTTTTTTTTTGTCTAATTAGTGTGTGAATAGCGGTCTCCTATTCTCTCTTCCTCTTAATTATACCCCAGCCTCTAGTTTGAGGTGAGTGGGTTTTTGGTTGGTTGGTTGGTTGATTGGTTGGTTAGTTGGTTGATTGGTTGGTTATTGGCTGACTGGTATGTTGGTTAGTTGGT